CTTCAGGGGGAAAAAGCAGACGAGAGTCAAAAGATAAACCTCCTGAAAAAACACATCTGCTTCACAATCACACTTACACATTCTGTTGATAGGTTTTCCAGTGATATTTGTCAGTTGTGATCCAACAGTGCTGGTGGAGACCACAGTGATGGTAGAGACCACAGTTCTGGTAGTCTGATGCTCAAACGCTGTAAGAGAACATTTTCTTATTACTACACTAAATAAATATTCTTATTTTTAGCATTGCTTAGTGTGGAACTTTAAGGATGGCATTTTTGTTGGTCAGTTGGTCGGCCCTCCAACTTGATCTGGACTGAAATATCTCAACAACTATTTAAAGAATTGACATGAGATTCTGTAAATACATTCACTTTCCCCAAAGGATGAACATTTACTGGAAAAATTGGCTCAAAACTTTGGTTCAGGTGATGTATCCTGACACTTTCTTGACAGTGGTGTTCTCAAGTGACCTGGAAAAGACCTGGAAAGGGTTATTAACGCCTTTGTTACCTCGAGGTTGGACTACTGCAACGCTCTGTACGTGGGTATGGACCAGGCCTCAATTAAACGCCTGCAGCTAGTTCAGAACCCAGCTGCACGTCTACTCACTGGCCACAAAAAGCGTGACCACATCACCCCAATTCTGGCCTCACTGCACTGCCTTCCAATTCGGTTCAGAATTGATTTTAAACTCCTTTTATTTGTTTTTAAAGCACTAAATGGGCTGGCTCCGGCCTATATAGCTGAACTCCTCCAGCGCTACACCCCAGGCAGAGCCTTAAGGTCGGCTGACCAGCTGCTGCTGATAGTGCCCAAGACCAGGCTCAAAACCCGAGGGCACCGAGCCTTCGCACCAGCTGGCCCTTAGCTCTGGAACAGTCTGCTCCTCCATGTGAGGTCGGCCCAGACCCTAGGGTTTTTTAAATCTACGCTTAAAACACACTTCTTCTCTCTGGCCTTTTAGTCAGAGCGGAGCACGACTCCTGCCTTTTCCCTGTGTTTTCTATATATCTTTTGTAATTTATTGTCTTTTATTATGAATGTAGTAATGTGTTTTTCAGTGATTGTAGTATTTATTACATATACAGCACTTTGGCCCGAACAAAAATCGCTTTTAAATGTGTTTTATAAATGAACTTTGATTTGATTTGATTTGATTTGATCGAAGTGGATAACATTTAATAATTCTGGTGGTTCCCAGATTTGTATGTACAGCAATCATCAGGTCCAATTTAAAATATGTCCAGTCCTATACTTTATGGTGAGTAATGATGTTTCTTCAGCACGTTTAATGTTAAGTGCTATTTAGCTAATATTAGCATGCTATCAAGATGTGCCAAACTCAATATCACTGGGGCTACGCTAGGGCATGGGAATCATACCATACCGTTTAATGATATGCTTTTATTTATATGAAAATCTAAAACAAAATCAAATATAATATTTGTAGCATGTCCCATGTAGTTATCTGACCAATACGTTCCCAAAAAGTTGAATACAAAAGTTTTTTAGTTTGTGTTAGATTTCTTGTAATATTGTATTCTGCTTATATTTTATAAGAAGGTGAACATTAAGCCAACTCAAAACAACCTGTTTCACAGGCCTGGAGAAGACAAGTCAATGGTTGTGTGGGGCACATTACAAAAAATAAATAAACGTAATATCTTTGCTCTTGTACTTTACATTTTCTATACAGTCTAGCCTCCTGGCATGCAACTGGCTGCACACAAAAACCCTTGAAATTGCAAATAAACTTTGCAGTGATAATACAAACTCACATACAGTAAAGCCTATTTCCCAGATTTGTAAAAAATATGCATTAATAGCTTTATACAGCAGATTTCCAGACAGAGGAATTAAATCCAGTGCTAACTGTATCCTCGCGGCTGGTGTGTTCCCATCACAAGGTTGCTTAAGTATTACCTGCTGATAGTTGAATCTTGACGTAGTTTCCAACATTCCACTGTGAGTCTGATCCACACCAGTATGTCCCAGAATCCTCTGCTTTCAGCTCTGTGATCATCACAGAGAAAGAGCTGGAGGAAACATCATCTTGCAGCGTGAACCTGCTTTGAGTCTTCACCATCTCTCTACAGTTTTTGCGGGTGTATCCCTTACAGAGAAACTTCCTGTTATCCCTGTGTTGTGGTGGGTAGGGGCAGTGCATGGTTACTGGATGTCCCACGATGCCTTTCAGCTTGTTTGTCTTCACACAGCACCACCCTGTGAAACAATAGGAGGTGTAAGATAAAACTGCAGCTTCTGTTCAGCTCAGAAAATAAATGGATAAACAAATCACAAAAGTGTAAATTCAAAGCTTTGGTTTTTAAATCTTTCATAATTCTGTTTGCAAAATCCATGTGACAGAAAGTTGTTCTCTGGCTGATTAACATACATAACATAACATAAATAATGGTTAAGGAGGATGTCTCACCTTGGACTGCTAGCTCAAAAGCCTGAAACAAATCCAGATTGTTTTTTCTATGGACACCACAAAGGTACGAGCCAGCATCCTGTTTGGTCAAACTGGTGATTGTCAGTGTGAACCTTCTTGACGCCTTGTCATCTGTAAGTCTGAACCGTCCGTTTTGTTGGTTGGGAGACGTGATTAAAGCGTTCTGCAGACACCCGGAAGGCTGGTTTCCTCTGCAGAAGTACTTCTCACTGTCCTTGTTCTCCGGCTCATACGTACAGCTGAATGATGCTGAACTCTCCTCGTTACCCTGAACTGTGCTGGTTGTGTCACAACAGCTGTCTGTTGGAGAAACACACATCTCACACTGTTGTTACAAGCTTGTAATGTTTGTGCTGTTATGTTAAAAAAAAATTGTTTGTTCTTCATGTATTGTGTCTTGATATTTGTCTATGCTGATGTTACACATGGAGCTGCTGTGAAGCAAGTCAAATTTCAGACTCGATCATAAAAGTATTATCGTATCGTATCGTAAGCACATAAAACACCTTCAGATTTTTCTGCATCAATTTTATAGCATGATTGATTGAAAATGTTATTAACAGATTGCAGAATGGGTACAATATAGTACAGTTCAATACCCACAATTGTTAAGAGGATGCAGACCAGAGAAAGACTTTCGTCTTGTTTACATCCGGGTCCCCCATTTTGATTCATCATAACATATATGACACACATGACATTCACAGATAGATTACATTTTCATTTTAGATTCATTTTCAATTCATCATAACATATATGACATACAAATAGACAGTACTGTTACATCTAGACATTTATGACATACCAGATCTACAAATATACAGTACTGTTTGTGAGTACAAAAAGAGTCTAAAAAGAGAGTATTGTGGTGACCACCTTTAATACACTGGGTCATAATTCACACACGGAACTGTGGGGTAGGGCTATTGTTCCCACACGGACATGTTTGTGTTTACTATATGTTGTGTGCCCTCCTGACTTCACTCTCTCTTCTTCCCGGGCTGCGACCCAACAACATCTCTATATTTGCTCCGCAATAAAGTCCCCTTTTTACACCATCATTGCACCGCCTCCGACTCCTATCTCTCGGCACTACATTGGTGACCCTGACATAAGTCTCGCGAAGTATCCGAGACTGTACCGAACATGGCAA